CCATCTGCTCCAGGCAGAATTCAACTAAAATACTGGAAGTCAAATGCCCTAAGGGAATTGGCGACGGCTAACAGAAGTTCAAGTTGGGTGGCTGCAACTAGGGATGGGGGCGGGGGAGGCAGAGAGGATGAAACCCAAAGATGGAACCGAGCTCAGCTCCCCGGGAAAGGGTCCTTGCGAGGTCTCCAGAGTGGAGTGCAAGGGGCTGACACTGACGCTGGTCTTCTCTGAGGACAACTTGTAAGGTGGCTAAGAAGAAGGGGTGACTGACGGGACAAGCAGACCCAAAAGCTCCCCGACAGTACCGGAGCTGATGGGCCGGCCTTCGCGCTGCCAGAGACGCACGGAGGCTCAAGGGTCCGGGGGTTTCCTGGGGGTCCGGGAGGTGGGCGATGCCTCGCAAGGTGAGGGTTAAGGGTTCAGGCGGCGCCCAAGTCTGTGGGGGCCAGCTCTGAGGGGACCCCACGGCCCAGAAGGGCGGCTTCCCGGGGCCCCCCACGGACCAGGCTGGCTGTGGGTCTGGACATTCCGCCACCTTGGAGGGGTCGGTGCCAGGATCCAGACTCACCGCGCGGCTTCGGCCAAGGCCTCAGCTGCCGCCACCAGCGCCGGTACCGCCGCTTCAGGCCCCGGGCCCTACCACCCGCCTTCCTCGCTGTCCTCTAAGCCGGCGGCAGGGAGGGCTGGCTCCCAGACCTAAGAACCAATCGGCAGGCGTAAAGCGAAGATGGACTAAAACATAGACCAATAGTAATGAAGGAGAAGTAAAGCTTTGGGACCCGGCTTCTCCAGGGGGCGGGGACTGTTCAAATAGACAAACCACACGGCCAGTGGCAAGAGAAAGCAAGCTTAGGTCCACTCTGGAGAACCAATCGGTGGTGAGTTGACTTCAGTCACTTCCATGCACACATCCGGTGCATCGCTACTATTGTTCCCCTCTGCCTCGGAGCTGCGGCTGTGCGTAGTCCGCTGCATGGGTACTCCGAACGGGACCGAGAGGCGGTAGGAGGAGGCTCGCGACCCCGCCCGGTTTAATTCTGAGAGGAGCGTGTGAGCTAGGTTGGCGCCCTGTAATTACTGGAGCAAAAGACATAAAATTTTTAGACTAGCGGTACTTATGGACCCCAGAATCTTTGCATTGGTTCTTCTGTGAAAATTGTGCCTCTGAATTTCACATTTTTCACTTGTGTTCCACATCTCTATATTTAATCATTAAACATTTTTCAATATGTAATATATTCACTGTTCAAATCTCAAAATAAATAAAAATATCACAAAAAGTCTTGCTCTACCCCTGCCCTTTCACTACTTATTTTCTTATTTCTTATGTATCCCTAGAATTTACATAAATACAAGCAAATATAAACATATTTTTATTTTCCCGTTTCGTTACATTATATACACTGTTCTGCACTTTTAAAATTCTAGTGTATCCTGGAGATCTTTTTATCTTATTATATAGAAAGCTTTGTTCTTTTGTTATAGCTGCATAGTATTCCATTACATGGATGTACCGTAATTTATTTTTCCAGTCCCCTGTTGATGGACACTTGTTTCCAATTTCTTGTTATTACTAATGATGCTGCAATGAATTCCTTTATACATATATAATTTTATTCCCTGGAAGCTCTACCAAAATACCCGGAAATGGGAATCCAGGGTCAGAGGGTAAATGCATGTGTAGTTTGATGCATATTGTCAAATTGATCTANTGTGCCTTGGCCTGGAGGTTTCCCAAGCTTCTGTAGCAGTAAATGTGTGGATGACCTCTCACCATTCCGTAGTGCTTTACTCTGAGTGGGACCCAAATTCCAGGTGCTTGTTACTGTAGCTCTGTGTTCGGTTCAGCCTTTGTGCCAAGCGTTGGGTAGGGAGCTGTGAACAAGCCAGACACAGGCCCTGCCCTAGGATTTTTTGGGAAAGACAGAGCTAAAGTAATGAGAACGGTGATGAAGTTTATGAAGGTGAAGCAGGGTGCCATGGGAACATATTGCACGTAGACCTAATGTGGTGTAGGGGTGAAGGAAGACTGCCTTGAGGAACGGACTTTAAAATCTTGAAGAGTGAGTAGGAGTTAGCCAGGCAAAGGAGGGAGGGTGGTTCTGAAGGCCATGAGGGGAGAGGGGAGGAGAGCTCAGGTGAGGCTGGAGAGAGGCAGGGCAGGGTCAGAGGTGAGCCAGGTGAAAGATGGGGCTTTTATCCTGACAACTTGTGGATCGGGCTTTTCAGGTATGTATTGGAGAAGGGGGCATGGTCAGATGAGTATTTGGAAAGGATCGCTCTGGCTGCAGCGTGGCAATCAGGTTAGGAATGGGAGAGGGTGTTGTGTATGAGTAAGAATGGAAGCCGAGGGACCAATTAGGAGATCCTTGCAGTATTCCAGGTGTAAAATAACTGGGACTTGGGTTTGGGGATGGAGTGAGGTGGGATGGAGTGTGCCTCTGGCGATGGAGAGAACCAGGCAGGTTTGAAAGAAGTGGATTAGACAGGATTTGAAGTAGATTAGTGGCACAGGAGGATGAGTTGGGGATGACTTTAGAGTTTTAACTTCATGGGAACCAGAGATGGGAAGCCAAATTGTAACGTCATTGTTTTAGCTGTTTTACTCACTGTGCGGGTGAAAGCGTCTTTATGTGGAGTCTGGGAACTCTGAAATTTCACTGATATTGACTGGGTTTTGTTTTTTTTTTCAAAACCTGAAGATGCCTCCAGAGGCTATAGAGAAAGGAGGCAGAAAACTGAGAAACTGGGCTGGCTATTCTGTGCGGGATTGATCTGATGGTGTTACCCACAGAAGCGATGTCTTACGGGGGTTGGTGAAGGATGAATGAAGTGGAAGAACTGGATTGTAAGACCTTTAAGGTCCTTCATGGGCTCCCCCATTGAACTGAGAGTGGAGTGGGAACCCACTGCTCTTTGTTGCAGGCTTTGTTGGCAGTAGGAAGGAAAACTTGGGTATGACTCTGAAACGTCCCTGGGTGCTAAAAAATTAGTCTTCTCTGTACCTCTGTGTCACTGGAGAAGAAATCAGGTTTTGCGCTGGAGGGGAAGGGAACTCAGTGACCCCCCACTCTCCCCCGTGTAAGAACGCACCATTCCCGGCCAGAAGTGGCCGGCCTTTGACTAATGAACAGCCCCCCAGTTGCCAGCCCTTGACCTCACTCACACCAACTCTTTGGGTTTTCCGGCTGTAGGAATTGGATTCAAGTACGTGGCTCTGGGAGACCTCATCATCCTCATCACGTTTGGCCCGCTGGCTGTGATGTTCGCCTACGCCGTCCAGGTGGGCTCCCTGGCGGTCTTCCCACTGGTCTACGCCATCCCCCTCGCCCTTAGCACCGAGGCCATTCTCCATTCCAACAACACCAGGGACATGGAGTCTGACAGGGAGGCGGGCATCGTCACGCTCGCCATCCTCATCGGTCCCACCTTCTCCTACGTGCTGTACAACACTCTGCTCTTCCTGCCCTACCTGATTTTCAGCATCCTGGCCACACACTGCAGCATCAGCCTGGCCCTGCCCCTGCTCACCATCCCCATGGCCTTTTCTCTGGAGAGACAGTTCCGCAGCCAGACTTTCAACAAACTGCCCCAGAGGACCGCCAAACTCAACCTCCTGCTGGGGCTCTTCTACGTCTTTGGCATCATCCTGGCACCAGCGGGCAGTCTGCCCAAACTCTAAGGGGACAGGGAGCTCCCCCAGCCACACGTGCCCGTATCTGAGCCGGGTTGAGGGCAGAGTATCTGAAGAGAGAAGGTGATTTGGCACTGAGGGGCCTAAGGATGGCTTGTGAACACCCACCTTTTTTTTCTGAATTTTCACATTCTTAAAGATAGTGTTTTGTTTTCGTTTTATTCTGTTTTGTGGGGAGTCTTGAAACCACTCTGGTATCAGAAGAAGGTGAATTGGCCGCATGGCTCTTGTTTTATTTCTAGTTTCCACTAGAGGGTGTTGTTANTGACATACCCTATAAAGTACGTACTTTGTTAACTATCTTCCCCCTTAGACTATAAGCTCGCCGGGGTTAGGGATTTTAGTTTCTGTTCTCTGCTGAACCCATGGTGCCCAGAACAGTGCCTGGCATGTAGTTAGTACTTAATATTCACTGAAGGAACAAATGGGGACACATTAAACTGTAATGAGCACAGCAATGACATAATCTGATTTTATGGGGTATTTTTTAACATTGGCTTTGATTGATATATAATAGCATACTGGGAAATGCACAGATCCTTAAGTGTGATAGTTTGATGAGTTTTGACAAACGCGTATAGCTGTATAACCCACACTGCTATCATGATACAGAACATTTCCATCATCCCCAAAGCTTCCTTGTGCTCCCTTTCTCCTCGTCAATCCCCCCCTCTCCCCACCCCCATTCAGAGGCAACCACCGTTCTGATTTCTTTCACATGGGCTTGTTTCGCCTGGTCTGGATCGTCACGTAAACAGGATCATTGAGTGTGGACTCTTAGGCCTGGCTTCTTTTGCTCAGCATGACGGTTTGGTGACTCATCATCCTGTGACGTGTACCAGCATTTCCTGTGTCCTGAATAGTATCCATTGGATGGACATACTATGGTTTGTTTATCTGTTTTCCCTAGTCCGCAACATTTGGCTTGTTTCCATATCTGGGCTGTTATGCTTGAACATTCATGTTTAAGTCTTTTTGTGGATATTTGTTTTCCTTTTTCTTGAGTAAATGCCTAGAAATGGAATTGCTGCTTGCTGGGTCCTAGGGTAGATGATGTTTAACTATGTGAGAAGCTGCCAAAACGTTTTCTAAACTGGTTGTACCGTTCTTATCTTTGTACCAGCAACCTCCGAGAGTACTAATTGTTCCACATCCTTGCCAACATTTTGATTTGTCTTCTAGCAAATTCATCCAGCTGCTGTGTGGACAACTGGCCCAGTATTTCGCTGTGCTGACTCATTTGGAAAATGGTGTTGGGATGGGTGGGAAACTCCCAGGCGGGCCGCCTCTGTGAATCAGGTGGAGCACGTGTCCGGCAGTCAGGACCGAGCTTTCTCCCAAGGGCTCTAGCACTTCCTTGTGTCAGATAACATCTAGGAGGTTGCCAGACCTTTCTCATCCCTAGAGGGGTATGTG